TTCAGGAACAACGAGGTTCCATACCTTCTGAAAAATCATCATAAGATTCGTAACTGAAGGTTTGAATTTTGATATGGTAAGGACAAAACATAGTGTTGTTCGGACCGATTATGGGGTTTGTAGGGACCCCTCTTTCATATGGTCCGAACAATATCATGTTTTATCCTTATAATAGTAAAGTGAAGTTTTTTGGTGGCTAATAGAAAATGCTGTTTTCTATGAGCTATAGAAAAAATTCACTCTACTATTATAGGACGGAACACATTGTTATTCGAGCCATATGAAAAAACATCCTTGATAACTCGAGATTGGTCCGAACAACACTATGTTTTATCCTTACAATATCAAAATTGAAGCCTTCAGTTAAGAGTCTTATGATGATTTTTTAGAAGGTATGGAACCTCGTTGTTCTTGAAAAGTTCACCATGGGAAGAACTCCTTTATACACAGTTACTGTACTCGCTAAGCTCTACAAAATGAAAAATACCTGATTCAAAACGGAGAGTCACACTTGGGAACCTTTCCTCGTAAGCCCGAACTCGTTTAGGATTTTTTGTAATCTTACAAAGATCACATTGTGAATTTGAAAGTTTCAATAACATCCTACTCAACAGTCGACATTCCGAAAATATAGTATAGATATTCTGAATGAACTATACTCACTTGAGTAGCTATCAATAAAAGAGAAATTTCGATTCATACTGTTCTGATCCTATTCTCGACTTCTATTTAGAAATCAAATAGTAAAAGTATCTGATCTAAAGTTTTTTTTTTTTTTCTATTTTAGGTAGATTTTCAAAATGATCAAGAAGAAAAATGTCGAATAGTTTTTTCTGTAATGGAAGAACATCATGAAAAAACGATTCGTCGTGTACGTCGTAAACCTGCCGATTTAATATTACCAGATGTTAGTAAATTTTTATTTATAAGAAGAATTCTTTTAAAATAAATAATGATAAACTGTTTTCTTTATCATTTAAGACATGGGAACCTTCAGATCAAAGTTGTAAACGAGTCCCATTACAGCCATCATCAACAGAATATCAAAATGTACTTGCACAATTTCATGTTACGATGCTCGGTAAATATTCGGCACTCATTAAAATCGAACGTATTCAAAATGAACGATGGTATAAGCAGGTAAAGAATTCATATCTATATAGCATCATACTTTTAAAAAGTTTCTTTTTTCTTTCTATTATAATCCCTTAATCTTGAGTTGATTTACTATGGTACAAAATATTTGCTCATTTTTCGACCACTAAAACACAACTTATTAGAACCATAAGGAGTTAGTAAAAATCACATTTTTTGCTTTTTTGTGGTTTCCAAATATATATTCAGAATTTTGTGACAAAATAACAGTTTTGATGCAGTCCTTAACATGTACCTTGGAAAAGTTTTATCTCAACATTATTGTAGAGCACTGAATTCGGTACAAAATGCAATACTACAATAGACGAAATATCGTCTATGTATTCCCACTAAACAGCTACGACCCATTAAAAATGATGATTGCTTTATTTTCTTAAAGCAACATGAAGTAATCAATTCTGTATTATGAAAATATATTGTTTTCGTGTAATACTTAATTAAAACTGATATATTTTGAAATTTTTATCTAAATTTTTCATGTTGCTTCAAAAAACTAAAACAAATACTACTAATCGTTTTAACACGATTGAAAACTTCTATATTGACCCCAGTTCAGATAGACTAGTAGTTAGCTCGCTTGAAGGTCATAATGTATGAGGAACAGAACTGAATCATAAAAAACTGTTTCATATTTTGAATTTGATAATTTTCAATTTATTTTGGATCTTTTCAAACAATCTAATAATACTTGTTCAATTCTACTTCATATGGAAAATCAGAACATTTATTCAGAAAGAGAAAAATTTTTTGATTCTAGCCTAATTGCTTATGGTTCTAACTAATTATCTTTACGCGACTGAAAAATGAATGAATATTTTGTACTAACACTATCGCGCTATAAGTTATGAAATTTTTTTTTGTTTTTAATAGTATGCTGCACATCGTGATGATTTCAAACGACGTTATCCACAAATAGACGAACGTTTACTTTTCCATGGATGTCCTAGTACATCAGCGGATAAGATTATTCGAGAATGTTTCAATCGATCTTTTGCCGGTGTTAACGGTAAATCAAAACTTGCCTGATATAGTGAAATTATTATTTTTCGTTTAGGTGTTGTGTATGGTTGTGGAGTATATTTTCATGCTCAAGCAAGTTACAGCCATCAATATTCACAACCGAATAGTTCAGGAGAAAGAACGATATTTTTAGCGCGTGTTCTTATTGGAAAAACTTGCAAAGGAGATAAAAACATGAAAGTGCCTCCATCTGGTTATGATACAACAACAGATGGACAACATATCTTTGTGGTGTATCATGATGCCGGTGCTTATGCAGATCATTTAATTACCTATAAATGAACACTTGTTTATGTTTTATTTTTCTTATATCTCAAGAATGTGAATTTTTTTTTTGTTTTAAATTTCTATTAGATTTCTTTTTTGTTTTTGATCGTTAATCTTGTGATATTTTTAAAGTTATTCATATAAAACTTTACGAAATAATATTTTCTTTTTAGAAGTCATATCATTTATATTTGTAAAAAACAATGGCGACTGCATTTGATTTATTCGATGAAGTTTTACGTGCATTTAATAATTCATATCGAAATGAAATGACACTTATTGAATTACAGAAGGTATTAGTTAATCGAAATATAGATATAACTGATGATGAATTGATTTCTATAATTCGTTCGCCAAGTCTTTCCAATCTTTTTAATCTTCAAACAATATCAAATGATTTAAGTTTAATACAATTATGTCCAAAAGTAAGAATAAAGTTATTAGAAAGGACGCCATCAGATTCGATGATCTATCTTGAAACATGATAACATATATGAGATTTTGTAGAACAATTTTTAACGATATGGGATGTAGGTGTAGATGAGAGTATTCTCTTCTTCTACATCGACACCTAAACTTTTCATAAGTTTATCTTACGAGGGAACATATGCAAGTGTAAAAAATCTTTTGAGTTCGGACTCTGTGCATAAGGTAGACCCCAGTGAGCTATGAAAAACCCTAAAAGGATAAAGGCTGTTAGGTCTTCTGTCCAGAGTTACAAGTATTTTACTGGAATTTTAGCCTATGGCATG